CCTGTTCAGGGTTTCCGAGGGTGTAAATCCTTACAGGAGTAGAAAGCCTCATCTTTCTCCTGCGGAGCGGCTAGTAGTTTCGAACCGCTGACCTTAAGGTTCACAGTCCGATTCGTAACCACTACGCTACCAGAGCTCCATATATGTATATGTGTGTATATACATATACATATTGAGAAATACAGAAGGCAGAGAGATTAAATCTTCTAAGGAGAGGAGTGAAAATGAGCTTGGGTGATAAAGAAGATGGTACGTGATTTGCACTTGCAATGGTTAATTGTTGTTAAGTGTGGTCAAGTGGGATCTGACTCATAGCAACTCTGTATAGGGTTTCTGAGGAGCAGTTGGTGCGTTTGAACCACCAACCTTGAAGTTAGCAGTTGGTTTGTAATGTTAAGTGTCATTGACTTGGTTCTGACTCATAATAGCTGACGAGAATTTACTTACAAATGTTTAGCAGACATTTGAAAATACAGAACACACCACAAGGGAGCGGAATTGGGGCTGAATTTTCAAATATTTCAAAACCGTTCTCAGTTCTAGGGTTTCATATTCTTTTGTGATCACTCACTGCATCACTTTGATTTTTTCTTATCTACTGTAAGATTATATGGCAAAGCCTACTGCATCATTTTTCCTTTCATTTTGGGCTGTTGGTCCTTGACTTGTGATTATTAACTCAGAAATGGCTCTTTCAGAGGAGGCTCAGTCGCTGGCATTATCTTGACTTTCTTGCAGTGGTCTGTGTCAAGGGAGTTTGTTTGGAAAGTAAAAAGTGTATCTCTGTGCTTTTGGCAAATAGAATCAAAACTCGACCATTCTCTGTTATATATAACACCCTTTTAACTTCTTAGATCCTTCCAACCCCTTTGGTTTCTGTTTTCTCTCTCTTGAAAGTGCATGAACTTGTGTTTTTGTATCCTGGTACCGTGACTAAGATTATAAATACTGTATCACAGCAATGTTCCCTACTATACAATTGTCTCTTAAATAGCAGAGAAAAGAGGAAATAATCTATAATACTTGAATTTTAGCCCTAACTTGTAAATATTTAATTGATTTAGACATCTTTAATAATGTCTTTTTAAAAATACTTTTTGCTCTTCCTAAATAACACAGGACAAGCAATACTTGGTAGTTTATTGTGTCATGAATTAATGGTGTATAACAACAACAACAACAAACTTAGCATAGCGGTTACATGTAGTGCTGCTAACCTCAAAGACAGCATTTCAAATCTACCAGCCACTCCAGGAGAAAGATAAGGCTTTCTGTTCCAGTAATGATTTCCTGCCTCAGAAACCCAGTACATGATAGCTATGAATCAGAACTGACTTGGTGCCGTACCACCGTTACCAAACTTAAATAAGGAGTCCTGGTGTGATGCTGAAGGGTAAGCACTGTATTGCTAATCACAAGGTCAGCAATTCAAGCCCACCAACTGCTCCTCAGTAACCCTAAACAAGATGGTTATGTAAGAACTGACTCTATGGCACAAGCTTAAATAAATTTTTAATACTAATTTTATTAAGTAACAGGTCTAAGAAAACCATAGCATTGTAAATGACTTGCCATTAATTTAAGAATACTAGTTAACAGTATCTTCACATTTTATAGCTTTTTGTACATAAAAGAGTTGTTTTTCTCTTTGTCCTGTTAGGTGTTGCCCCAAAATCCATATTAATACTGGTAATGTTCTTTATAATATCTAATAAGAGCAGTATCAAAGAGAAAACTGGCATGCATACAGTAATAAAAAGCAAAGAAACAAGCTGGACTTTAAAATTAATAGAACTTTTTGAAAGATGCGTGTTTTTCTTATGTTCTTTGATTTATACTTGATATTATTTTTCCATTGTTTTTTGTTTATTAGTTTTCATTGTTATTTAATGTTTTTTGTTTATTAGTTTTCATTGTTATTTACGGTTTTTGTTTATAAATCTTGAAATAGTTGTAGCCCTTGTGCAATACACAGCTGTAGGTTTCATGCAGGTTGTCAGTGGAATATGCATTCAACTTAAAAGTATATTTACATTATTTCTTTCAATGAGCTCTTGATAAATTTAAATACATTGTAACTTGTTTCAAGAAAAGAGTTTTACTCTCTGAGTTGTAAAACCTTAAAATATACACTGCAATTGTTTTTCTGGGAAATAATCATATAATGCATTTTGAAATGTAAAAATTGAACTATGTAGAACATGTTTTGTTCATGTGTACAAGAGCTACAGGTTTAAATGAGGCTCATTCGCGTGCTTGAAGAATGTTCAAAATGTGGATGTGGCTTGCACATGGCTTAAGAAGTTATGATGATTTACCTCAAGGAAGAAGCAAGGAGCTGTGGTGGCTACTTGCTTATTAGTATAGTCTGTACAAGTGGATAAGATATCCATTATTTACAACTCACTAGACAACTACATTTGTTTCTAGGTTCAATGGTAAATGGATGGGGCTCTGCATCTGATGAGGATCGTAACTTTTCTAGTCATAGATCTAGTGTAGGTAGCTCCTCAGATGGCGCCATCTTTGCCAGCGGCAGTTTTGCACAAGCACTGATGGCAGCAGCAGATAAAGCTGGTTTTAGGCTGGATGGAACTAGCCTTACAAGAACAGGTTGGTAGATTCCAAGTCAACACTTTCTGCATGAGAGAATCTTTTCTTTTGGACACTGAACTTTTTATCTCCGATTCTTTCTCTTCAGTGAGTCTGACTGCAGGGCTTTCTTTAACATGCATGAGCAAAAGTAGTGTGCTCAGTAACCAGAACTCTCTTCTGATGCTAGTTTTGCAGAGCCAAAAATAGGCTCTTCTTACCACCTTTCGTCTTTTCTTTCCTTTTCTATTCATGGTGCTGCTGATTTAATTGGAATAACCTTCGTTTGTATATTACAGCAAAAGAGAAACTATGCTATCCATTAAATTTTCAGTAACTCAGTTTGCAAAACCCGCACACAATTAATAATATACCTGATGATCAAAAATATCCAGCTTTTCTCTCCATTACTTTCCTTTGCCCCATCTTCTTCTGCAGATGTACTTTTTGGAAAGGCTTTCTCAAGCATGGGGTGAATGGGTCTAAGGCTGTCAGTCTAACTGTTCAGATGGCTGATGGTTTTATTAATTGTTTAACTGTTAAGATTTAATCCAATAATTTATTATTTATTTGAAAGGATGCTAATTAAAAATAAACCCACTGCATTTGTAAATTGAACAAAGTGATGCTACATGTGCATTACTTTTTGGAGAAATCTAATTTTAGTTTCTGAGAGTAATATATAAAAGTATTTTATTTAAAAATTATTTAAAAAGTCATATTTAAAGTATAAAAATAAATAAAATGCAATATATAGAAGACCAATTATATCATTTTTCATGTGGCTGCTCATTCCATAAGAAAGAATACGGGGTTTACTCTAATATTAGATAAGTAATCATTTACTTAATTGGTGCAAAATAATTTTAGTGTGATGCATGCTTCTATTTGAGTATGTTTATTTACTTGTAGATATAAACAACTGAACCCACTGTCATAGAGTTAATTTCTACTCATAGTGACCCTTTATAGGGTTTTAAATCTTTATAGGAGCTGATAGCCTCATCTTTTCCTGTACACTAACTGCTGGGTTTGAACCACTGACCTTGGACTGAATGAAACTGAACTAACTTAAGAAACAAATTAATGAAATATTAGGTAGATTTTTGAAATCTTGATGGTATTCAAATAATAAAGTAAAAAAAGAAACCAAGCACAAAATAAAGAAAACTTATTTTGACTCTTCTCTAAACTTAGGTTATATATATATAAAAAAAAAAAATCTTAAACTTTTCCTTTGAATTATATCACCAATATTTCTTTTGAGCATGCATTAGCAATCATCTAAGGAAATAGGAAAGGATTTCCTGAGCATTGCAGAGGTTTATTTTTCATATAGCATCCAAACTAAAATATGTTGTAATATGGTAGTTATTTGAATTTTCTTGCTTTATAAGCCATAAGTCAGAAACTTTATGTTGCCTGAGTGCTTTTTGTTGCATAGCTACAAGCAAAGCAGTGAGAAAGAGCAAGGAAACTAATAAATTAGAGGACATAAATGCATTTCTTGCATGTATGCTATTAGCTAATAATGCACAATAATTTTGTGTGAAATGAATGCATTCACAAAAGAATAAGTACATGCACATAAACCAAGACTCTTTTACCATAACCTACATGGTATCAAAATTATAAATTGTTGAAATTTACAAGCTAACGTTTTCCCAGAATCCATTTCCTCACATGTGCACATTAAACCAAAAGAAAAGGACACAGCATATGTCATTTTCCAATGACAATTGGAGTCTGCTCAGCTACAATAATACTCATCAGAAAACACCTACTGTACTTTGAATAAGGTGGTTTTTAATCAACTATCCTATACACTGATGCGATTAAGTTTTCTGCTATAAAAGGTAAAAATCATTGTGTACATGTGTGGGCAGTAAGGTCAACTTAATATATGTTTGTCTGAGCAGACCTTTCATGTAAACTTTCAAATGCAATTAGTACAAGACATTGTTTTCTTCTTCTTCTTCCTGTGCTCAGAGATTTTGATTCTGTGGATGAAATTTTAATACACAAATAAGACAATACACAATTCATCTCAAAATTAGCTTCTTTACTTTTAAGACATGAATTTTCATGTATCTGTGAATAGATCACTGTCAAGGTTAAATACAGATTCATTAAAAAAATATCAAGCTTTGATTGGGAGGTTTGCTTTTTGTCAATTTGTTTGGTGGAGGATATTGTACGTTTATTAAATATAGAACAAAATTAATGTAGCAGGGCAATTTTTTTTTCTTCTATAAAGATGGAGTAGTATTAGTATCTTCAAAGAGCTTCTTCAGGCAGGTAGACAAGTCAGTCTTAATAAGAGAGAAATACAAAAAGGGCAGGATCACTGTTTTATAGTAACATTTACTATCCCCCATTCCCCCTACCCCCTCCCCTTTTTTTTTTAGGTAAAGCCTTTCCTTCCTCTCAAAGACCTAGACCAACCAGCCCATTTTCTACTGACAGTAACACCAGTGCAGCCCTGAGTCAAAGTCAGAGGCCTAGGCCCACTAAAAAACATAAGGGAGGGCGAATGGACCAACAACCAGCACTACCTCATCGAAGGGAAGGAATGACAGATGGTAAGTGTGTCTCCATTCCTCTTGTCTCTTCACTTTAAGAGATGTTCTCTGTCCTATCATTTAACTTAGATTAGTGCAGCTATGGTAGATTAGGCATTGCCTCATTATAAAACAAGGTAAAACATTTGGCAATATGGTCTTATTTAAATAAAACACCCTCTCGTTTAGTACTCTGAAGTGATTTCTGTGTTGCTAAGCACCCCAAAATATATGCCACACCACTTTTACTGTTAATTCATTTTGTCAGTTTGGTATTTTCCATTAATTCTTCTCAGTGAATGGTCCACTTTCAGATAAAGAAAGAAAACATAAGTAACGTGTGTATTTGTCATCTTTTTAGAATATTCATGATATTATATTCATATAACCTAGATAGCTTTTTAACTTTTAAAAAATGCTTTACAAAGTGATTTAGTAATCTAGCAATGTTTTAGTTTTATGAATTTTAAAACTAAACATATGCTGCAGATCATCTTTTCGAGAAGTCCAGAAACGTTTTTTACAAAATCCATTTGCAACTATTTCACTCTTCCATGGTTCTCCAATTGTCATCAACATGTTGAGTGACTGATTTTCAATTACACTTCAGTTACAAAATAGGTGGCAAGTCAAATTTGACCCACATTTTATAGTTTGCAGGTCCAGTCAAACCCCCTTATTAATATATAGTATCAATTATTGAGGGAACTAGGCAGCGAGGTAATTAAAGAACTTGGCTGCTAACCAAAAGGTTGGCAGTTTGAATCCACCAGCTGCTCGAGGGAAGAAAAATGTGGTAGTCAGCTTCGGTAAAGATTTACAACCTTGGAAAGGCTATGGGCAGTTCTACTCTGTATTAGAGGTCAGTACGAGTTGGAATGGACTCAATGACAGTGGGATTTTTGGTTCTGTGTTTTCATCATTCACTGAATACTCATTTAAACACTGCTTGTTTCAGGGCACATAATATTATAATGAGACAGTCATATTCAATAATAAATAGTTTATGAGGCTTACCCAGCAAGGTCTCTTATGCATACATACAATTTAATTTTCTCAACTATTAAATTGTGAGCAATTATTCTCACATTGTGATTCTAGTCTAAGGAATGTGGAAGATAAGCTATTTTAAATACTTAATATCAATCCCCAATGTAAATTTCTTCTCCCTTCTCAGCATTATCCCCCACAAGCACACAAACGTCATTCTGAGATAGTTCTACTAAAGGTCACCAAGATGAATCTAGACAACCTGCACCTTAGATCATCTGAGAAGCTCTTAAAATACACCCTGGAGATTCTGATTTAATTGTTTTGGGGTATAAACCAGTTGCAGGTATTTTTCAGAGCTCCACCAGTGAATGTAATTGCAACTATATGAAGCTATGACCTAGTCCTGAGTACTCATTTCAATCCGAGGTACATAAATATAGGACAAAATGTTACTAGCTGGAAAAGAAGAAAGTCTATTCTTTATTGTTTTTTTTTTGTTTTTGTTTTTGTTTTTGTCTTTTTTTTTTTTTTTTTGGTCTTTATTAATCTCTGTCTGGCAGTCATCTTTGTGCTGACTTTTGTCATCAGATCATGCTAAAAAGACTTAAATAGTCAAACATAGCTAGTTCTTAAAGCTTTTGTGTTTGCTTATCTTTCCTTCTTGTTTTCCCTGGAAAGGGTTTCAGTGGAATACGTGTATAAGGATACAGATTTTTGATTCACTATAAATGGATATCCTGTAGAGAGCAAAAATGCTCACTATGACCTTTCTGCCTGAGATATTCTGAAGATTAGTTGAGCAATGAAGCATATGTAGTGTTGGTCTTATTCTGTCTAAAGAAAATGATTGCTCACAACATTGTGCTCATTATAAATCAAAGTATTAATGATTTTATATAATTTCCCGTCTCTGAATATTTTGGAAAGAAAAAGAAAAATCCAGTATGTTTTTCTGTGGTTTTAAAGAGACATTTGAAGACTATATCCAGAATATGTGGAAGATATAAAATAAATAATACACTTCTTTCTTTCAACAATATTTTTCTTGAAAGCTTTTTTAGGACTCATTAAAACAGGCTTCCTCTTTTAAAGCATGAACAATGTATTGCCAATCTTTCTTTAACAAAAAAAAAAAAAAGAAAAGCCCTTAATTTAAATATTCACTAGCATTCAAAAGGAGATCATGGAATATGTGTTATGAGAAAATATGTTCTGGGAGTTATAATACAAAATAAATTTTAGCTCACGTGTCTTCTGAGAATTTGATCCAAAGATGTTTTCAATGTGATACAATGACATTTATTTTGGATAACACTCTACAGATAATCATGAATTATATCATTATTTCATGACAAACGTGTATGTCATAGCATTTTTATGGTGTGAATCCATGCATCAGAAATAACTTTCAACATTTGTCCATATGTAGTTTTCCTTTGGGGAAAGTTGCCGTTCAGTAGCACTTAGTGTATAAACATTTTATAACTATTGCATCATAGATTTTACAATAGAATTTATGAGCATATGAGGGTAATTATCATGAGCTGCTATACAAAAAACCCTTGACTTCTCAGTGGCATAGCACGTGAAAGTTTCTTTCTCATTTACATAATGTTTAATAAAGGTCATGTGACTCTCCTGTAAGCTATAGCAGAAAGATGTAGTTATTTTCAATATGGAGACACCATCATTTTAAAGATAAGATCATATAACTTGAGTGAGGGGAAAAAAGAACATGGGTGATCACTTGGAGCATTTATGACCAGGCATGTACATGGTATGCATTACTCTGCTCCTATTTTATTGGAAAGAATTCAGTCACCTGACATCAAATGAACTCTAGAATAGAAAAGTAAACTTCCCTGTGTCCAGCGAGAGCATTGGTGGGAACTGCCAATATCTGCCCCAAAGAGGCTTTTTTTTTGAAAGAAAGAAAAAAAGAAACCAAAAAACAAAAGCAGCATTGTTCAATCCAAGTCTTCTACAAGTCTTCTACTTGATTAACATTTTAAGCCAGAGAGTAATCTTTGGAGCCATCTCATTGACCAGGACTGAACATGGAAGGCAGAGGGAAGAGTTTTCTTCTGAATATTAACATTTCTCCCTTAGATCAGTTTCCATCCTGCCTCACCCCACTCTTAATTCTTAGTACTTTATTCAGGAAAGTTTCTCTTTCCCAGCTCAGTTACATAGTTGCTTTTGACTTTTAAGCAAATTTATTTATTCAAAAATTATTATTTATAGTATGGAGCACCAACTATATGATATGTAATGGGAACCACACAGACATTTCTCTGCCCTCTTAGAGTTTATATGTTAGAGTATGACAATCAACCTTAATATGTGCATAAATGAAAGCATAAAACAGGAAGATAATGATAGGTACCTTGCCTGTAAAAAAAAATCATACTGAAGAAAACTGAGTTTATGGAATCAAGGAAGTGCTTCCGATTTACATAGAATGCTCAGGGAAGGCCTTACTGAGATGGTGACATTTGACAAAAGACTGGGAGAAAATAAAGGAAAGAGCAATGTTGATATCAGAGGAAAGGTCATTCCAACAAGAAGTGAGAGCAGCAAGTAGAAACCTGGGGTTTATACAATGAAAAACAAAGGAAGCATTATGACAGGAATAGAAGGAGTAAGAAAGTCAGAGAAGTAATCAAGGGCCAATATTTGAAGGACCATTAAGTTACTCTAAGTTCATTGGCTCTTATTTAAATTGGAGACTCTAGAAGTTTGTGTGTGTGTGTTTATAAGGCAGAGGAGTCATATGATAACTCTACCTCCAACTACCAAATATATATATATGTGTAGAGAGAGAGATATCACTCTAGTTGTATTGAGGCAAATTGATTAAGGGCAAGGGTGGAAACATGGAGACCAGTAAGGAGGTTGTAGAAGTACGTAGAGAATAGACGATGGTGGTTTGTGATAAGGTAGAATCAATGGAAAAGATGAGAATGGTTAGATTCGGGATATAGTTTAGAACTAGAGCTAACAAAATTTGCTGATTAAAGTAGGAAACAAGAATGTCAATAATTACTCCAAACTTTTATCTGATTTATACAGTGGAGCTGCTATTAATTAAGATGAGGAACTCTGTACTTGGGGAGCAAGTTCTGGAGTTCTATTGTGATGCATGAAATTTGAGATGTTTTCTAAACATCTAAGTGAAGTTATTTAATGTAGATTTGAGTGTAAGAGTCTAGAGTTCATGGGAGGAGAGATCTAGAGTGGGGATGTTCAATCTCTTTGTGCCTCCATTTTCTTACCTGAAAAATGAGGAAAATAATAGCATGTATCACATTGGACTTCTATGTGCTTGACATTAGTAAATCCTCAATAGGCCAGTAAGAGAATCCTCAGTGTATTGATTTAATTGAAATGAATCAACATAGAAAAGAATAATGAATTTAATGTAAGCAAATGGATTTGATGACATATTTTTATTTTTACTATGATGATTCTGAATCCTATCTCCTGCTTTCAAATTCATTTCTTTCAGTGTGTATGTAATGCTCTTTCTTAGAGTATGAAAACTCCAAGGATATTAGTTAATTATGTGGCCATATAAAATTCAGTTTAAATTAAATGGTAATCAGAATTTTAGCTAGCATAAGCAGGTACCATTTTGTTAGATTAAAAACTAGGCTGATGGAGAACAAAATCAATGACAAGATATTTTGAAAATGAATATAATACACTGGCTGTGTAAGTCTAATTGATTCAACTACTCAAATAGTTAATTTCAGTATATATCTCAAATATACTGAAGAAAGCCAGTATTGACTATAAAGAAAACAACAAACTTATTAGTGGATTATTCGGCAACAAACATCTCAATATGGGATTGCCTCTTCATTTTGGCAAATATGTTCCAAAAACCAGGTGTTTTTTTTTTTTTCTCCAGAGACCCAGTTCCCTTGAATAATTAATAATTTATACCTAATGAGAGGATATACATTAGAACTGGGAAATCTGCTCCAATTTGGAAACTCCATGACAGATAATCAGAGAACAATCAATATCAATTCAATGGACAACAGTGTCTTTTTTACTAATAAATAAAACTTCTTATGAAAGTCATTGAAAGGAGCACATTACCCTTCCTTAAAGAAACTGTCTTATGTGTGTAAGACATTTATACTTTTCCTTTTTAAATTTTACAAACAGAATATCATTAGCAACACAAAAGCATCTCTACAAAAATATGAGAAATAATCACCTCTATTATATTCATTGTCATTGTTGCTGTACTGTATAGCCAAGTCCCTTTCACTGATAGCAATCCTATGCCATGAGGAAAGCAGCCCCATAAAATGTCCTAGGCTATAGATTATTTGGGACCAGATCATTTGGTCTCTTTCCCTCAGAGCTGCTGGATGGGTTTGAACACCCAGACTTTTAATTAGCATCCAAGTGCTTAACCATTGAACCACCAGGACTTCTAATAATATGCAGTCCCCACTAGCGATTAAATAGATATTAAATTTTATTATATACTATATCTTATATTTATGAAAAAATAATATGTGCGTCTGATAGATAAGCACTGGATTATTAACCAAAACGTCAGTGGTTCAAACCCACCAGTTGCTCCTTGGAAACCATACATAAGGTCTCTATGAGTCAAAACCAGCTCAACAACATTTAACAACAACAACCACAAGGATGAAAAAATAGCTATATTAGCATGCAAGAAAAATTAGAAGAAGGTGATACTAAAGAATTTTATAAGATTTCGAAATAAACACAACTATTTTCAACAAAATAAATTTCAGAACTAGTGTAATACTTAAAGGTAAATGAAAGAATTATGGTCTCATAATTGCAGACATTCAAAATATAAAGGTATCATATCTGGAGAGCTAGTGAAAGGAAAATGAAAACTTAGCAGACTAATGAAGTTTTAATATTTGCGGATATGATATTTAATTTAGAGTCTTTTTGAGAAACGATCTATTCCACTATATCTCAAATTTTCATGATGTATTGTCTACTCTAGCACAATGAAGCAGATTCAATCTGTACTCTGAAAATGGTTATTACTTATTAAAATTAGTACATTGGAAGATTATAGTATATTAGTTGTAACTCATTAGCTAACTCATGAAACGAACAGCTAGAATTGGTTGTCAGGCAGAATGTTAATTGTATTTAATAAATGTTAGCTTAACCCTTTGACTATTGCTAAATGTGCCAAATACATGGGTAAAGACAGTCATATGCTGCATATGATACGGCACATAATTCTTAATTTCCCGAGGGTGACATTTCCTATGGAGACTGGCAGGAGAGCTTTTCTTCTTCTCAAGGCTTTTTATTGGCACAGCTGCTAGAATTTCTAGTTATCTTATTTTGTGAAGTGGCATTTCTACTTTGGTGGGATCTGTGGCAATGGATTAAATATGATAAAACTGTAAAATGCCCTTTATATGTTCAACATAAGCCTCAATGTCCAATTGAAGCACTAACTTTGCACATGTAAGAGCTGGATGGAACTAGTGAATTGTATTTCAGATGCTATAGTCACAATCATCAGAGTTCAATAATGTGCACTTTGGATATTATTTCTCCAAATTTCTTTTGCACAGGTGATACCTGTATGAGGGAAGGGTTTTCTTCAATGTGAAATAAAGCCTGTCTTTTTCATTAAATTTTAGTACATTCTAAATATTATTCAAAATTTTTAGATCTTCCACCACCACCAGATCCCCCACCAGGTCAGGGTTTAAGGCAGCAAATAGGTCCAAGTCAGCATGCTGGTAACGTGGAAAACTCAACAGAGAGAAAAGGAAGCTCTCTAGAGAGACAACAAGCATCCAACTTAGAAGACACAAAGAGCTCACTGGATTGTCCAGCTAGAACCTCCCTAGAGTGGCAGCGTCAAACCCAGGAATGGATAAACTCCACAGAACGCCAAGAAGATATACGGAAGACCCCACACAAACAAGGTGTTGGATCAGGTGTGTTCTTCCCAGTTCCAAGAAAGTATAGACTTTTACCTCTTTTTTTCTACCAGGTGTTTTAGAAGTGGCAGCTAGTTTTGGGAGGCTAAAATACATTTAGCTTGAAGTTGTAAAGAGCTCACCAGCATATGCCCTAAGGCTGAGTCCATTGGTGATTGTTTATTCCTCAAATTAATCTCTTCAGAGGGTTTTTGAGCCTAAAAGACCTTTAAAATTCATCCGCAGTGCTCAAGAGACAATTTTTTGTCTGTCTTTTAATACTTACATTGAGTCATCTTAAGACCACTAAATTTCATCTTTGTTGTTGTCATTGTGTGCCGAGGGTTTCCGAGGCTAAAAATCTCTATGAAATCAGAAAGCCTCATCTTTCTCCTGCAGAGCAGGTGGTAGACTCAAACCAGCGACCCTGAGGTTAACAGTGCAACGTGTAACCCACTAGGTCACCAGAACTTTTTAGTGTCAGTTTAATCTCTGTATTCTACTGGTTTGTTTATTTTAACTAAAGTTAGAAGAACTCACTTCAATCAGTTAGGTGAATTAACTGAAATAACAAATAAAGTTGCACAATAATGCTCATTTACAGAAACGTTTTATTACAAAAGTTTGAACTGTGCCTGCACTTTTCCAGCTGACTAATTTTAGTTGATTGTTAATACTTCGATGGGTAATATTCTTATTTGCCAGTCAAGCTGCCTAGAAATGTCACAAAAATGAATTTTATGGTTGATGGTTGGATTTTTTTTTACTGGGGGCTGGACCGTGAGCCTTTTATAGAACTGCAGTTTAGGGGATATGTCTTCTCATGACAGGATTCATTGACTATTTTTTTAAACAACAGCAATTTTTGGAAGTGTTTCCTTTTTTATTTATTTAGAAGCAATTATTTGCAGACGTGTACTCAGCCCATACATTTTCAGTTGTTTTATTTTGTCACTTGTCTAGTTTTGAAAAATGTAGGTTTTGCAAGGACCAAAGGGTGGCAATTTTAATATATAATATCCAAGGTTAATGAAATGTTTTGGATTTTACACCACTGTTCACAGAGTAATCCAGGCTGTGAGAGAAAATCAGGTGATCTTTGTTTTACAGACTAAGGAGAGAAGTGATAAATTGGTCAGCATTTTTCAGTCGTCCAATCACAGAAATCATAAACCCATTCTAGTAAGAAAGGAAAATGCACACAGAAAAAGAAAAAAAGAGAGCAAGTAAAGCAGAAAATTTTATTTAATGTTTCAAGTACAGGAAAGTTTCTTTTCCTTTTAAGGAAATATACAGTTCTTCAAATATCTTTCTATCCCAAGAAAGAAGAGAAATTTAGGAAGCTTATTTAATTTATTCATACCATACTTCTTTATCTAAGGTGTTAGAGAAAATATTGTCATCATTTGAATGAAAGCAAACATCAGGTTCCTCCAATTTTAAAAAAGAAAATTAAATTGTAGCCTCATGGAATTCTAGAAATTATTTTCAGATATTCTCTTGTTAAGCAAATTATGATTAATTGTATGCAGTTATTATTATTTTTAATAATGATTTTGTTGTTGTTTAGCATTGTTGAGTCGCTTCTGACTCATAGCGCCCCTAGGGGTGGCTGCCGTGGTGCTGCAGGATAATGCACTGGCCTGCAGAATCGGTTTGAACTGCAAGGTTGGCGCTTCGGGCTCACCAGCCGTCCCTCAGAAACTATATATATAGGGTGCCTGTGAGTCAGTACTGACTCTATGGCACTTAACAACGGGGATGGCTGGCAGGTTTGACCTACCAATCTTCAGGTCAGTAGTTCAGCACTTATCCTACAGCACCATACCAGGTTTCCTTATAATTAAGTTAATATTATATTGTGGTTGCTAAGTGTCATTGAGTCAGTTCCAACTCATACCTACCCTATATGGGATTTCCAGGAGTAGCTGGTGGATTTGAATTGCCCCGCTTGTCGTTCACAGTCCAGTGCTGATTTTACACAGTGCCTAAAATCTATTTTAATTGAACCCTGCTTCAGTGCCTATTGTAGGACAGATTAACATGAAGAAGTTATTTTAATATTTATGTTCTATTAAACCTTATATTTATAGTCTGAAGTGGCTTTTCCTGAGCTTAATATTTAAGAATTAAGTTTGTATTTTGCCTCAGGTTCCTGTTCAATTTAGTCCTTTGTGTTTCTTTTTCAGAGGAGTCCTTGGTGCCCTATAGCAAGCCCAGTTTCCCATCGCCAGGTGGTCACAGCTCATCAGGAACAGCATCCTCAAAAGGATCCACAGGACCCAGGAAAGCTGAGGTATTGAGGGGAGGCCACCAGCGCAATGCCAGCGACCTTCTTGACATAGGATATATGGGCTCAAATAGTCAAGGACAGTTTACAGGTGAATTATGTAAGTGCTTAAGGACATTATACAAAGCTACCATGATCCAGAAAGAATATAGGATTAATAACATTGCTGTAATGAATAAACTCAATCCAAAATAAATCTTGCTCCACTGTAAGAAAAAATCTTCTAATTTTGAACTGATTTGATCAAAACTTAGGCCATTTTGTTTTTTTAATGGCAGTCATATACATTTGTGCTATTTCATATTCAATTTATACTGTAACAAATTATTTTACTTTTGACCACTGAATATAATATTTATAAGATTTAAATTAAGTAGAATCCACTTTATAATTTTCTTTTCTTTTGGAACTGAGTATATTGAAGACGTGGGAACATATTGGCCATTTGGTAGTTTCAAAGAATCTCCTTGGAGCTGAAAGATAAGCACTTGACCATAAGGTTGGTTTGAAACACAAGGTCACCAGTTCAAACCCACCAGCTGCCCCTTGGAGATCCTATATAGTATCACTATGAGTTGGAACCCATTTGGTGGCACTTAGCAACAACAGTTCTATTTAAAGGAGCCCTGGTGGTTGTGTAGCACTGAACTACTAACCACCAGGTTGGCAATTTAAATTCACCAGCCACTCCTCAGCAGAAAGATGAGGCTGTCCTCATAACGATTTGCAGCCTTAGTAACCCAGGGTCACTGTGAGTTGGAATTGACTTGACGGCAGTGGCTAATTTTAAATGTCTTTATTGTAACAGTATGTCTTAGAAATAGCATTTAAAAATACTTGAACAAGCATTTATAGTTAGTACAACAAATCTAATACATTTTCTAAATGTCATATTCTAGATTCTAGAGAAAAGTTAATGTCACACTAAAAAGCACTGATCTTGTACTTATTTCATCAGGAAAACTATCAATTCTGCTACTCAATGTCAACATTATACTTACTGAATGTTTTCAACTGATTACTTGAATTCAATGTAAAAACACTACTCAAAGCACAGTCTTTGTTTCTAATCTTCTCAACAACTTCATGATTATGCAACCTGGGAAAGTCCCTTTTACCTTCCAATATCCTCCTTTCCACCTGAAATATAACATTACCTTATGTTTACCACTCAGACTAGATTTTGGGTATCTCATGAGATAATGAAAAGCAAAAGTACTTTCAAAATTCTCAAGTTTTTTTTTTTTTTTTTTTTATTGATTTAAGCTATCATCATAGCTGTCTGTTGCTTATCTGATTATTTTTAAAATATGCTTAAAATTTTGAATTTGGTTCATGGTTACTTGAAGTTTCTTTACCTTTTTATTTTAAAGTATTTATAGACTCACAAGAAGCTGTGAAAGAGCTATACTTGAATTTTAAATATCCAAATTTTAAAGTATATATGTATTTTTGTTCATTTCCATCTCTATTACAGTAAATTTTCTTAAAATCACTAGTTCACAAAATTAATTTGGTGACATGATCTTTGTGTACTATCTTTACTGATGCTAAGAGCCTTGCTGTCGAGTTGGTTCCAACTCATAGTGACCCAGTATAGAGAAGCAGCTGGTTTGAACTACTGATCTTGCATTTAGCAGTCCAATGCTTACACTACAGCATCACATCAGGACCCCTTGTACTAGCTTATGTCCGTGTTTTTTGTCATATTGTTCAGGATGAAAGAATTCTTAATTTAAATGCAAATTTACTTCTGACTGTATTATTATTATTTGATTTCTTTATAGAGTAACTGAGAGGAGACATGCAAAGCTGCTCTGAAGGCCCATCAGGTCTGAACTCATGGAAGTGATGACAGTGCAATGAACAATTTCTTTATTTATGTACTATTAAAAGAACTGTAAATGCAATGTAAAGACACACAGCCACACATATCCCACAGATATTTTACTTGTGTTCTCTTAAGTACACCACCCACCTTAACTCTTTCTTGTCAGGAGTATATAAAAAAGAAAGAAAGCAAAAATCTCCCTCCATGAAGAAAAGAATTTTCCTCTGTATATAATTTCTTTTGTGCATTGCTATGCAAACTCACTCTTTTTAGCTCTGTTCATATTATTGTCTGTTCTTATTGGTCTGTTGTACTATATGTGAATTAATAGGCTGTGGTGCCATATATTAACTTTTAATTGTGTAACTTTTATGTTTAAATTTTGCACTGCAATTTCATTTGGTGATAAGCACAAATCTCTACTCCTCGTGACATGAAGAAAAGACTGAATGTGAAGGGAGTTTCTGTACTGTAAGCTAGATTGGGTAATGCTGGATGTAACCAATCATGTTAGATGGTTTTCAGTTGGGGTGTAGAAATAGGAAGATACAAGGAACAGTGGCATTGGTGAAAGTTTTCTTTGACCATTTGGGACTGAGTCAATTAAAAGTGGAAAGTAGCTTTTGCTATTGAAAAAGGCTGGGGTCAAAAGAAGAAAGATGGAGTCTTAAGATTGAATATGCATTAAAATATACAGGTAGCAAATATGTACTAAACACATTTCCTGATTTAAAAGGAAAGAAAAGAACAATTTTACCTGTCATTATGATTGACCCATCTGAGAATTAAAATCAAAGAAATTTAGGTATTTCACAAAAGCTGTATTTATATTACAGTTCTCTTTTTTTAAAAAAGAAAAAAAACAAACAAGACTTTTCTGAATACCATAATTAATCTCTCCAACTCATTAAGTCAGAATAGAATATGAAGTTCCCCAAGGAAACAAACAAAATTAATTCTAGAATATCTAGCAAATAGCTAAAAAGTCAGTTTTTTTTTTTTTTTTTTTTTTTTTTTTAATCAGGACATACTCAGGCTGCTTCCAAATGTAAACACTATTGCAAAATTGTGTTTCATCTTTCTAATACATGTACAGTACGCACTAGAGGATGGAGCTGCATCACTTAAAGTTTTGACTTTCTAAAAATAATGCAGTCTATGTACAATTTTGTGTTTTATTTGATTAAGAAGTGAAGTTTATGCCACCAAGTGTATAGCCAAATTGTAAGTGCTTAAAAAGCAGTGCTCAGAGTATGTTCAGTTCACACTAAGTAGATTTATTGGAACAAATATTTTATGGTACATTCTCAGAATTTGGCTACCAACTAAAATCTCTTTGACCCAATTTGAATGAGTAAGTTGAAAAGAAAAATTTAAAAAAAGAAAAAAAATGCATGTTTATACACTTTTTAAATAAAACCAAACCTTGTAAGTGGACATTAAAAACAGTGTCCTGCCTCATTTGTTTTTCACGACTTTGACAACCAGAAGTTCTTGAACATCAATCATATATGGTCAAAATAAATTATTTTAACATATATGTTGGATACTATACATGAGGACTCCTGGTGTGATATTGTAGTATCAACAATGGACTGTAAACCACAAGGTCACCAGTTCAAGCCCACCAGCTGATCCTGAGAAATCCTATTCAGGGTTGCTATGAGTCAGTACTGACTTGATGGCACTTCACAACAACAACACTGTACATGTGTAGTCAATCAGCCAAGTAGAGGACAACCTTTCTAGTATTCCTACTTGTGACATTTCTTTCATATGCTACCTATACAATTTTAGATTCTATTCCTATCTGTTTTGTTTTTTTTTAATGTTTTTTCCTATGAAGTGCTCTGTAGTTGGTACTTTGAAAAATATCCAGTGTAATGGCTAGCAGCAGTTCTAACATATGTGACCCATAGAATGACAATTCGTACTTAGCACATTCTTGGCTCAGTCAACAACTGTATGTCATTTTGCTATAGCAGAGGAATGATGTGACTAAATGCATTTCCATCTTTTTTTTTTTTTATTCCCTGAGACTGTATCAACACAGGTAAGCAGAGAGACAGATAAAGTAGAGGCAGATAACATTCTTTATGGGCACCAACAACTTTCTGGTGCCATATAGTTCATTTCTTCAATGAAGAGAAACAGAATTCTGAGACCATTTGCTAAATCCTTCAACAACTTTTTACCATCAGTGCCTAAATTTTAATGCAGGTAGATTTCTCTGGGACAAACAAACTGGGAAAGGTGAGAAGTTTCAGCATGCATACTTATTCGCAACTATAGAGTGTGATCAATTTATCTAGACATCTCCCTATTTCACCTGTTACTATTAAAAAAGAAAACAAATTCCTTAGAAGGGTTCTCCATTTGTGCCCCACCCTCACCCCTCTATGTTCCTCTACAACTCGATTTACCATTTGAACTGCAAGGTTAGTGGTTTAAGCTCACCAGCTGCTCCTTGGAAACCCTATACAGGGTCGCTATGGGTCAGAACTGACTCAATGGCACTTCACAACACAACAACAACAACTCAATTTAGACAAAAACTTTAGTTCATCGCACACATTATATATATCCTTTGACTCCTGGTAAGTAAGAGGTGTAGGTGAACCGGGACTTCTAAAATAGAGTATCTGGATGCAGGTGACTTGTGGGACAATGTAGGGGAAAGCATCATATCTTCCTGGTTGTCTTCAGTACACACAAGTTAACTGATTGTTATGGTATATTAGTGCAGACCCTAAGCTTACTTGAAATGTTCATTTGCAATAGTTCACATTCCTTATTAAATCTAGTCTCTAAATAGCCTTTTCCATCAAATATTGTACCTACAATATCCTTGCATATGTATTGGTTATGAGAAAACATTATGGCTATACAAATGAGTTCAAGAACAAAGGGTATCCAAAAGCAAAAGCCCTAGTCATCATGCTATATGTAAGAATCATTTAATCAGCTTAAATCAATGTCAATGTTAGAATACAAACATGCATGGGAGCCACTACTATATAGCAGATGATATAAATGTGATTAGAAATTCACAGTGCTCACCCTTCTTCCAGTGTAAACATAGGCCCTTATGAGCCTCCAGAAGGAAATCTGTATGGGAAGGAATGTCATCTTATCTTACACTCACAGGCAATGCTACAGTGCTGTCATCCCACACAGAAGCTCAGTTCCATTCATAAGGTGGAAAGGCTCTATTCAGGAAACCGCCCTTATCAGTGCTCAAGCTCAGGTATGACACAGTGTACGCTGGTGGCATCACCCTACCTCTCCTCCAAATTGTTTCCATGCTGTTTTCAAAGCAAGGTGGGATCATATGGGAGACATGAAAACAACTGAGTCCTTCATG